GAGAGCGTCATCTGTACCGCGTCGCGCAAGCTTGGCATCCTGAACAAGGTGCACCGATTTTTTACTCCAGAGCTGCGATACCTGTTGTATAAAGCTCAGGTCCGAAGCAGCATGGAGTACTGTTCGCACCTTTGGGACGGCTCTGCCAAGTACTTGCTCGATGCCCTAGATGGACTGCAGCGCTACGCCTTCCGTGTTGTCAACGATCCTCATGTAACTGAGCATGCGGAGTCGTTACAGCTTCGCAGAGATATAGCGTCTCTTAGCGTATTCTATCGTCTGTACCACGGTGAGTGCTCTGAAGAGTTATTCAACCTTGTCCCTTCCTCTCCTTTCCATCAGCGGACCACCCGTGCCGGACTGCGTTGCCACAGTTGGACGGTCAGTTCAATACCGTCCCGCACTAAAAAGTTTGGCAATTCGTTTTTATGCCGAACCATCAAATTGTGGAACCAACTCCCGGCGCATGTATTCCCTCCCCTCTATAACATCGGGTCCTTCAAACGTAGTGTGAAGAAGCATTTGGCCAGACCGGCAAAATGATAGTGACGGAGTGAAGATATTTGTGTTTTCCATCCGTTACTCTCATCTCTGGACTGTATTCGCACTTTCCATCAGGCGCGGTGCAGTCATTTTGCCGAGTCACAATAAAAAAAAAAAAAAAAAAAAAAAAACTATGGACACTAATTTAAATTGGACTAAACATATTGCAAAAATAAAAGCTTTCGCAGTTCATTTACGCCTTAAGTGTACTGAAACAAAATACAGACATCTATCGTGTCTTGACTACATATTATGCGTATGCAAACGCCTGGTTCCGCTACGGAATTATCCTGTGGAGACACACTCATGAGGCGCAAAAGATATACATATTACAGAAAAAGTGTCTTAGGATAATCCTAAACCTACGCCATAGAGATAGCTGTAAATCTTTCTTCGTAAAGTATAAGATATTAACTCTTCCATGTTTGTATATACTCGAAATGGCGACATTTGTTAGAAAAAATATAAACCTCTTTGAACATGTCAGAAGTGAACGTAGCAGCATAAGCTAGTACCTCCATCGCCTAAACTTGAATTTCCAAAAATAGCCCTTATTACAGAGCAATAGCAATATATAACAAGACAACCATATATTACAAGAAACTAGGTTTTATAATATATTACTTCAGAAAGACGAAAAACTGTTTTACAACAAATCGAAAAACCTCCTCATACAAAAGTGTTATTATACAATACAAGATTTTGTTGAAGACAAAGAACTCTAATCTCCCTATTTTAAGCTCTACAATTATAATAATTAGTATATGGATGCATTATTTAATTGTTACTTCATTACTTTATTAAGACATTTTATTATTTAAGAGAATTTAATACTTTTATTATTTAATTTATTTTTCAACTATTGATTATTTGTAAGTTTAATAATTTGCATGTCTAAGTATATTTTTAAGTCTTAGCTACGCCCTTACAGGGCACATGTAATGTAATTTTATTGCATGTTCGCTAATAAATAAATACTGAAATACTGAATACTAATTCGTTTGTGCGTCTTTGCCCAACCGTAGGATACATCAAGGTAAATGTTGTTCTTGTTGTTGTTGTGGGGAGAGAGCCGACTGATTATCTGTCGACCTTCATGAAAAAGAGTTTTGGCCGAAGGATGTCGTTTACTGGCGAGGTTCAAGGTCAGTTGCCAAACACTACTCATGGAAGAATACCAAAAGTGGAGTTACGTCAAAAACGTTTATTGCTCCATTAGATACAGAGAAATACCATCCACATCTCCTCCAGTTCTTGTAACTCTTATCTACAATATAAGTCGATAGATTTACAAGAATTGGAGAAGATGTGGGTTATGTTTTTCTGTATCTAATAGAGCAATAAACATTTTGGCATAACTCCACTTATGCCATTCTTATATGACGGGTGCATTGCGCCATATGTCGCCGACAAGTGGAATTCAAATAAATTAGTTATTCTTTTTTATATTGTATTTATATTTGTATCTTATATGTTTACTCTTTACGGTATATTACATTGGGTTTTTTTTAAATCAGGCAATTATGCCTGATTTAAAAAAATAAATAAAAATAATTTGAATATAAATCATAAGTCTGAGACATGTCGTTAACTCTAACATAAAGCCTCAGTTACGACCACATTAGACTATAAAAACGTTTAGAATAATTTGGCGTTTTTGTTATTTATTCTGTAGCCACTTCCAAATTTACTTTTATGAAATGTTTATCGTTTATCCAGGTGTTTAATTAGGCAGTCCTGCTGTGCTAGTAATCGGAGATACTTTACTACCTCATTAATATCCCTAGCACAAATACACGAGAACAACATAATACACGCCCAATCAGTTTTCGATTATCCCACCCAACTTACTCTACACATTTGCATTTTTCATTCCCGATTTTGCATTTTAGCAAGAGGCCCTTCATATTGATAACATTTGAAGAAATGTAATTGATTTTATTCTGTGTTTTTTCCTAAGTTTCTTGTTATCACTTTATTTTGTGTACCAAAGTGTAGGTATTCCACAAAATCTAGCTTGATTAGAATGACACATGTCAAAGTTCATGAACCAACGGTGGGAGACGTTCTGTGAAATCGAGATATCGACTGACCTATGACTTATCTAAATCTGTGTTATAGTATATAATGATGGTAATAACTGAAATCAACTTAGTGATTTTCAGGTAAGTTTTTTGTACTCAATTTTGGTGACAATTTCTTTTTATGCGCAGTGGATATGCTTACATGCGGACAAGCACATAGGGGATAGTGGTAGCGGTTGAGACCCATGACTCTTATCAATAATATGGACTTTTAATTTTAATTTAATGTATTATTTTATTTCATTTCATTTTTCTATGCTGTAATTTTCTATGCTGTAATATTTGGCGAAATAAAATATTTTGAATTTTTATAGAATATCATCACGAACTATTATTTTTTTAATGTTAATTAAAGACATTAAAGTAATGTTATTAGTTTAATGTCCCACGACGACATATTCGAGTAATTAAATAACAAAATTTTCACCGAAATTGAGTACAAAAAACTTACCTGAGAATCACTGAACTCATATAATTTACTAACGAAGGGTCCATCACACGAATAATAAGTTTCCATAGATGAATGAATAATAATATACTGAGCATATCTGAATAATAATATACTGGTATACATTGGATAAAAATTCACCAAAAATACACAATTTAGCCTAAAACACATAATTATTAAATACAAAGATCGAAGACAAAGAAAAAATCCTTCGACCCGGTGGGACTTGAACCCACGACCATGTTGCCTTACCAAGCTTCAGGTCGAGTTACCAAGTCCACGAATTTCTTATGTCCGTTATAGATCTTGGCATTGAGTTTTCGGCTTTCGACGCCGACACTATTATTATTATTATACAGCGTAGATAAGGTTGTAGGGTGACTATATTAATTTAGATAAATAAAATAATGTTATCATTAATTATATAAGTGCATATTTCTACTTACTGTTTATATTTATTTATATGCTATTAAAATATTACTGTTTAACGTGTAAGATAAATAATTTATACAGCTTCATATAATACATAATTATAAACATAATATATATGTAACAGTACCTTAAATGTGTAAAGTAAAATATAAAATATGTATAATAGATATAGTATACAGACGGACAAGCGCATTATGTTTGTTATTAGATATTTGTGCGCGTGCATCGGCCGGCAACATGATGGACCGATTGCCGCGGGACCGAGCCGAGCGCGGCAGTGGCATGACGTAAAAGAGTCGCTTAGCTTGGCTTGCGAGTGGAATACGTGTCGTATGCTCAGTAATATCGGTAATAGTTATACCCCGCTATTTTATTTATTTTGCGAACTATTGCTATCCGTACTAATTTATGTCTAATATTTCATATATGTCCCTTCTGCTTAAAACTCTTATCTTCCTTCTGTGCTTGTGTAATCTCTGTGTTGTTTCCGTGAACGAATAAACTGTGAATAGTAATTTGTGTGAGTATCATTCCGCGGAACTACTACTAACGATTGTACAAGGTCCAAATCTTAGCTATCTTGTGTATTTCTAACAATATTACGTACCTTTCCCCAACCAGTAGGATAGAAGAATGTATCCAAAGGTTTCATGCCGCGTGGCAATGTGAATCTAGCCACATACACCACAGGGCCTCGCTTCAACAAGGATTTATAATAGATGTCATTGAACAATTCACACGATTTCCTTCTCGTTGTTAATGGAAACCCAGTCACCGACCATTTACCAGACAGGATTTTGTCGTCCCATAAAACTGGACTCAAGATACCCTGAAAGCAACGTTATTTCTAACACGAAAGGCACCATTATAAAGTTTTAAAATTGGACTAGAAATGGTGTCGCTAGTGTATTCTGCTGGCTAACATGAATAAAAGAATAATGAGTAAAAGATTTCACAGATGACGACGCGCATATAAACGCGATTCAAACTCGATGCAGTCACAGCGAGTAAACTTTTGCACATGTTCACAAATTCGTCAACTGCGCGTATACGCGCCGCAGTCGCGTTTCGAACGTGCTTCTCGCGCGCGTTTGTGTCGCGTTGGAATCGAGACAAACGCAGCAATCTGCTTTTTGAGCCTCTAGGGCGCCGTAAACGCGCCTTCGTTATACTTGTGTCGACGGCGCGTATAAGGGTCTATGTACACGGCGTATTTTATACGCGTAGACGACGCGCGTTTTAAGAACAGATTGTTGCGTATGTATCGATTCAAACGCGCGTAAAACGCGATACAAACGAAACGCGTTTGCATCGAATCAAACTGAGGAAAGGGGCAGGGGAGGGGCGCACGCTCACGCCACCGCGTCATATTTTTACGGCACCATAAATGCGCGTCATCTGCGCGTATACGCCTTTCATTTGTGTGTATACGCGCCGCAGACGCGCTGTAGTGAATCGATTCAAAAGCACGAAAACATCGCGTTGCAAGCAAAAGGCTTATATACTCCATTGGAGTTTATACTTAGAATTTCATGTAGTTTCGTCATTTAAATAATTACTTGAATAACAAACGAAACTAAAATTAAATCTATCTTTTATCAAAATGCGCGATACGCACGCGCGTTTACAGCGCGTCTACGGCGCGTATACGCGCGTTTACGGAGCGTATGAATTTGTGAACGTGTGTGTAGATCTACTGGCTACGACTGAATATCGTTTGTATCGCAATAACGAGCGCTTCTTCAGCGCGTCCTCTGCGCGTCGTCTGCGAGTATAAAATACGCCGCGTGCATAGGCCCTAAAATACGCCATGTGCATAGGCTCTTGTAGAATATAAATCAATAACGTAGCAATAGGAACTGAATGTCGTCGCCTTCATACAGGTTATTTAAAATACTAAAAACTGCTTTTGTACAAAATTAAAAATAAGTATTAAATTTTTTTATAATATCAAGTACGGGACGAACAAGACCTGTGCCTGATGGCAAGATACACGTTTGTCCATAACAGTTGCAGTGCCACTCAGAGCTTTAAATCGCAAAGATCTGAGGGGCACTGCGCGACCTTGGGCGACCGCCCAAATTCCTCTAAACAATACAATCGCGAGGTCGCTGCGTAGACCACAAGCCAGTTTTGCCCGCGCCCGGAATGCTCATTTAAGTTAAAACGTAAAAGCTAAATGAATAGAGCGTACTTTGCCATGACAGTTAGATGTTTTTTTAGACGGCAGCGCTGTCTCCGTGTGGCGACCGCGTGCTTCTAACTGTCATAGCAAAATCCGCTCTATTAGCCGCGCGGCGTGAGCGCGATGAAGTTCGTGTCGAATAAATGCCTCTGCTGCTAAATAGATCACTCGAAAAGGTGCTAAGTCTATGCTGTTACCAAAAAAAAGTGGAAGTCGTGAGTGAGGACGCTTGCATGTATACTTATCACTTTACTACTAAATATAGGTTTAAGAAGTGTCAGATAATACATCAAGAACTTAAAAATTAAGTTTTGGTAAATTAACCCTGTGCTTATACAAAAGGTTTTTTTGTGATAGAAGTTATTTTAACGCGTAAAAAAGGATACATTAGGTGTTAAACATTTGAAGCGAAACCACTATACTAATGATCTGATCTAGTGGTGGAATATATCAGACGCACTTGCATTCGAACATGGTACTACGGACTAGATACTTTTAACGCGAAGAAAGTTGTTCTTATTTGTCAAAGAATAAATAATTAATGACTATATACCTATATGACTATGTACCTTAAATTCGGAGTTCATTGATATTTTTTGATTGAGACGGCCTTGGTTTTCGACGAGGAAAGATAGCCTGATGGTACTCATCGCAATTGGACCTACAGTTATTTCTGTTTCACGTGTCATTCTATCCGCTATACCACGGAGCATCTAAAATGAAATAATCAACATTGATTGATTACTAGTGTTGCAACGTAACGTTGGCCACTATTTACCAAATGTTTGCCCAAGAGCATGGTCGAATATCGGCTATTCGAGACACGTCACATAACTTTTTATAAAAAAAAACGATCTCAGAAGTTCGTGGAATTACATCTATTTGCCAAGTTTTATTAAAATCGGGTTACCGGAAAGTGCGCGAAACCGCACTTTCCCCTAGTTTGCCACCCTTAGAGGCGGAACATTTTCTTTAAATTTAAATGATACTAATATTTTCCAATAAAAAAGAATCATCAAAATCGGTTCACAAATGCCAATGTAATCGTGTAACATACACATAAAACTATAGACGAATTGAGAATCTCCTGCTTTTTTAAAATCGGTTAAACGTTGCCATGAAAATACCATTTATTTACTTCTGTTATGATAAATGACTTTGTACAAAGAAACAAAAAAGATACTTTAAGTTTAAAATTTTCGAATTTAATTTATGACTTAATGATGAAAGTAATTGTGTATCTCGTTTCAGTTTGATTAACTTTCAAAAATGTATTTTATTTGGTTTTCAAATAATAACTAGTTAGTTAATATTATTAGCGTTAATAAGTAGGTCGTTTTCATTTGACATGTTACCTTCTTTGATCTCTTAGACAAATAACTTAACTTACGTTACAAGAAGGCAAAAGTTGAGCTTTCACGAACTTACAATGTATGTTCAAAAAGTTCATCATGTAAGTTTTCACATTCACAGCTTTTTTCCTATTTCTTGTTTCCTGTTTTTCGGTATTCAACCGAATACTGGTTCAATATTAGGTATTTGGCTGAATAAGCCAAATAGTATAATTATTGCAATTTTACTAATTACATTTTTTCCATGATTAGGTCGAATTTTTCGAAACGCGTTCATTTCAGATAATTTTATATGACTTGGTCGCTGAACTTAAAATCCTTATAGAAAACGTGCATGTCGGAATGGGTTCAAAATATTAGGGGTTAAAGTATGAAATTGCCGTTTTATTGCAATAGGT